GTGGGCATTACGGGAGAATAATGCCCTACAATTCAGTGACAATTAACCAATCAGAGCGCGCGTTATATCGGCCACAAGCCAAAGCCATATAATAAATACTGAATAATAATCTTGTTGTGTTGATTAGTGCGCAATAGTTTTTTTACTAGATTTTTTCATTGCTACAATCCGGATTTTTAAGTTGTTCAGGCTTGTTCTTTTCAGATCAACTTCGTAAATGCATTGCATCTAAATTTGAAATTAAAATGCAATCAAATTCCCCCAAAGACTTGAAATGAAATATTACTTTGGTGAGTCATGTGGTTAAGATGCTAATTTGTCTCCAGGGTTGTTTTACAGTGGTGACGGTCTAAATAGTGTCTATATATCAAGTAATTTTTTCCTGAAAGTGAGGACTGTAATTGGAGAAGAAATCTAATGCAGAGCTTAGTTTTTTAACCCCTTGAGATTTTTAACCTTTTTAAATGTTCAGGCTCTTCTTGCATCCCTAAAATATTTTTTTAGATGTTTATTTTTGTAACACTGAAAGAGCCTTCTCAGAGAAACCATTTAATATGTCAAATGCATTTTTCATAGGAGAGTTGACCAGCGAAAACCAGATTTGCTTTGTAAAGAATATTCCTGCAGCTGTGGTTGATTTAGAAAGAGCTTAAACCTGCACCAGAAATTGTTTCTTAGTGATCATGAACAACAGTACTACGGCTCACTTACTTACACTTCTTGAAGTACTCAAAATATTGTTACTCACAGGTGTAATCTTATTGTTTACAGTTCTGTGAAGCCACAAGACAAGCGTGATGGAGGAGGACAGTATAACTGGGGAAGTCCAACGGAAGGCTCAGGGTGCGTAATTTAAGGGTACTTTGCTATCCAGACCTTGGTTATTTGGACTTATTGATTGTCTAGACTTCTCTGTGGTCCATGTTTCTTCCTATAAATGTACACTATCTATCAACAGATCACAGTGAAAGATATTTAACATGACACCATCATGCCCACTGTATTGGATTTCTTTATTTTCCAATTACAGTTGTCAAAATTGTGCAGTCACAACTAGTTGTTTTGAAGATCTCAAGAGTTACCTTGCAAAGCTGACCTATTTGATCATTACTTGGCTTTCCAAAAGCTTTATCCTATATCAATGCTGTTGTTTTATTTACAGTCAAGATGCAGAAGTCTTTCCTCAGCCTGAGGTGACGGATTGGGCAGAAGCTTCCCCAGATCCAGACATCGTCAAGGAAACTGTGGATGAGTAAGTTTGACAGCAAAGACTTTTACTAGTATTATTTTGAAGGCTTACTTTTGCCAGTGACACAACAGCTGCACAAGTTTATGGGCACGTATGAAGGAAGAGAAAGACTCTTTCTTACCTTACCTTGAGTAGGAATAAGTGATTCAGATAAACAACAACCACTTGTTCTTACGTAAAGAGGTGTGTGAGACAACACATGTGATCATTCCTCTTGTGCTGATCCTTATAGTATTTCTAACTTTACTTGCTTACAGGGCTGTTATTAAGTTTTGAGTCACCTGTAGCCTTGTTCTCCACACCCTTAGCAACTTGTTACTTTGTTGGTGAATTATATCAACAACAGGCAGTTTCACCCATAGCATCAAGGGAAAATCAAGTATTCTCAGCTGTAACAGGTGTTAAGGGTTACAGCCCTTAATGACAGCCCTGGGCTTATACTTATGCTTGGGCTTTTGCCACCAATGGAAATGGTATATTTATAGGCCAATGTTCATCTCAACTTTTGCTGTTTAAAAGCACTTCTGAAAATTCTTGTATGGTAATGGAATGTAAGTTATGATCATAAAGATCGTAATTCCAATAATGACAAATGATGACGCTGGTGAGTTGAAGGAACTGTGAGAATCAATTATGTTACCAAAAACCTTCACACAATGTCCTTGGCCTGGGATTAATCTCTCAATATCTTTATCTAAAATCCAATACACCAACTGTTAGGTTGTCATTACAAGATCTAAATAGCTCATAGTACTTTATCTTGTTGAAGTGCTCAAGGAGAAGATAAAGAAAATGAAGAGACGAAAGAGGAAGAACCGCCTAAAGAAATGACTTTAGATGAGTGGAAACAGATGCAAGAAAAAGAAAGAGTTAAAGCAACATTTGAACTTCGCAAACCTGGAGAAGGCGAGAAAAAGGGGATGTGGAAAGATACAAAGGTCCTCAAGAAAACTGAAGATGAGGATGATGAACAGTTTGCAGCCAGAAGAGTAAGTTGATCAAAGCTTTCCTATCCTGTAGCAATCCTACTTTCCAGGCTCTCTTATTAATCCACAAGAGAAAAGTGAAAAAATGCAAAGTAAGCTACCTTTCCCACGTGGAGTAAGTTGTTTTTTCCATGTGCCAGTCACATTTTTCCCATTAATTCAAGATCCTTGCAGATACTATCTGGCTCTTGCATTTTGCTCTCTATTACTCTGGTCCTGTTATACAAAAGATGGACAATGCTGTTTACCAGGCTCCAGTTGTTCGAAAGATGGATAACTCTATTTTTGCACTAAATGGAGGCTGTTGCAACAACTGCAGTTTTGAAAATTTGGGAATATCACTCAGATATTCTCTAGGTTTAGGTGACGCATTATCCACCTTTCAAACAACTCGGGCTAGGCAAATTTCTTGTCAGTAAATAATGATATTGTTGCAAAACATACTACACTATGCACCCGATAACAATTTATCCAGCCCCAGTAGATAACACTATACACAGGATGAATCACTGTCCAGTGCCTCCAGACCCTTACCCTACCCCCCCTCCCCTCCCAGGAACAAGTCCTGCTGACTCTTCACCTCCTGCTAAAGTTAAATGGAAACCATGGACCCGAGAGTAGTTAGACCTTTGGTTTGCAACAGTAATGGCATATATAAAGTCCAACACTATGCCACAAATTTCAATGACAGAGTGAGTTAAATTCCAGTGTTAAAAACTTTTGGACAAGGAGGTTGGAGCAATGCTTGATGCATATAGGGGTTTCATTAACTTTTTAGCAGGAGGGCAACTGGTTTTCATAGGCGGGCAAAACTTTTTGAACTGAACTTCATTGTAAGAAAAATGTTCCTCCGGATGGTCAAACCAGGTGGGCAAAGCCATCTTCTCAATCATTTTTTTTTTACATTTTTCATTCCTTTTCAGGTCATAGAGGAAAAAATTAAGACATCTGGCCGTGTCAAGCAGACGGTCAATATCCAGGTAGATTTCAAAGGCAACAATGAACCAAGGAGAGGCCGTGGGGGCAGTCGTGGTGGAAGAGGTGAAAGAGGAAGTCGCGGTGGCCGAGGTGGCAGGGGAAGAGGTCGTGGTGGATATAGTGGCGGATTTAGCAGTGGTCGTGCTGATTCTGAAGATAGTGCTGCAAACTTTGCCTTGAATTCTGAGGAATTCCCCACTCTTGGTTAACAGACCAGTTGTGGAAAAAAAAGGGAACTTGTGTTCCAAAAGACTTGAGTGCTGCATATGTTAAAAGGAACCAGGAGAATCTTACGTGCATTTTGACAAATAGAGAAGACGATTTTCCAGAACTCATTTAATAAGTCACAAAAGAAGACAATATTTCTCAATAATTGAACAAGTGCTAATAACAAAAATGCACTTGACAAGCAGACAGTATATAGTGATAGTTATGTTGCTAGAGCAAGGTGCTATGTCATTGTACTCCATGTTACTTGAGTTGCTTTATATGGAGTTGCGAATTTAACTAGTCAAAAAGAAGACAACATAAAAAATATTATTGATGGAATTATACTTTTCTGACAACTGAGGCCAATCAAATTTGTCCTGACTCTAATGTTCTTTTACTTAGTGTTAACCTGTGAAGCTTGTGCATATGGTAAGATATCAAACTTGTTCACCTGATAGTGAGTAAAAAATATCACTCATTTCCGAGTGTGGCCCTGAACCACTCAGCCAGTTAATTAATCATGCTTGGCCTTGAGATCATCCACAGTCTAGTCTTAAATGTGATAGTGAAGAAGTATTTGCTTTTTCAGTTCTGTATTTAATTGCAACTCATTTCCAGTTGTCAATAATGGTGTTTCTGTATTGTTCAAATTATGCCTAGGTTGGAAGCCCAATAATATTTTTCACAAGTTTGTTTTCTGTACAATTTGTAACTTTCCATCTGCTAATCGCAGGCCCCTTTTTATCATGTTACAATAATGGCAGAACTCTAAGTTTCTGCTACTAGGGTGAAATAAAAAATAAAAAGGGAAGAAAGTATTCCAGCTGTCGTTTATTGACTTCGTATAACTGACAGAATTTGGTTTCAAATTTGCTTCAATGTGAGTCAATAAAGCGTGTCTTTTCGTAGGTGATTGGTTTATTGTCTAAACATTTGTTACACCTTCGATTAAAAACATGAAGTCTAATGAGATTGAACTTCAGTTGAGTTTATCTTCAAGCTAAAACTGCGAAATGTTGATGAAGTAAGAAGTTCCCGTCGAAAATTCACGGTATCCTTTAAATTGTCACTTCGGTTGTTATCAACGAGCTTAACCTACGCATGTCGGGTTTTCGGGACCTTAATTTGTAAAGAGGTTGGTGCTATTTGCCTAATCAGCCGGGTTTAATTTGTGGAAAAACTTGGTGGAATAGATGGGTTTTTTCAGTGGTGTTTACGATTTGACCAAATGTTCAGGAAACTTTCGAATACAATAGTACGTTTTGAGTCGTTCCTTCGTCTCTGATAACTATTACTTTGGTTAGGCCTGGCCAGAGCATTTTGCCTTCCCAGCTTGCCTTGAGCTCAGTAAACACCTGGGGCAGCAGGTATCCTCTACGATGCCTTGAACAAATAATACGGGTATATTCTGATCTCCAGAAATGGAACGTATACTCCACGGGAAAAACCACATGTTTTATCATTAAAAATTTGACCGTCACGGGTTTTCCCAAAGTCCATGTCAAGGTAGGCTCGATTTTTGCCGCTCTCTCGAGTCTGCTCTACGCTCTCCACGAGAAGAGCAAATGGCGGAAGAT